GCTCACTTGGATAGGTTTTTCTGGAGGAGTTGGAGGTCGTGCTGCCAGGTGATGGGGAAGCTTCATTCTGACCGCCTCCTTCAGCTTCATATTCTCCCTCTCATACTGAAATACACACAACAGAGAAAGACGTGTGTGTTTGTGTTTAAAGACAGATCTTTCTTTTCTTTTCTTTCAAGAGGACAAGTTCTTTGTAGCTAATATTTGTAATCTGGTGTTTTTTGCCCACATCTAGTGCCATCGTTGTTGTACTTTTTGAACAGTAGGGGGCAGTGTGTTGCATGTTTACCTCTCTGTAGGTCTCAGTCAGGAAACCCCATTTGTTGGGCCAGACTTCTGCTGAGTCCTTCTCAACTTTTACATGTGCTTTCCTACACACACACACACACACACACACACACAATAAGAAACAGAAACAGAAACAGGTGCCTCCACTACTTGCAGTGCTTTTCAACTCGAAGCAAACTCCGAAAACTTCATGTTACCTTCATTTAAATCCAGAAAGATGAAGGTCCAATTCTGGCAAGACTCATGGGAGAGCTGAGGTTGTTGAATGCTAACAAAATGATAAATGCCTTATCTTTGTTTAAACGAGGTGCTCCTCAAATTTGCAGAAAATATAAACCGAAAACCTCAACATCAGCAAGAGCTGGACTAAATAAGGCTGATCTGTCCCCTACTGCAGTATGTTGCTGAAACCATAATTTATATATATATATATATATATGCTGCCAAATTAAAGAGACTGCATGAAGTCACAGAAACATGTAGGAGAATAATAATAACAACAGCCTATGATATAATTATGGAATGATTTCATTAATACTTTCAATAGAAAACTCAATATACTGTCAATTTTCACATTGTAACACAATATCTTTTATGATGTATTGGCATATTTTTCTCATTATTACTACATATGAAAGAATTAAACTTTTACAAAAGACATTTTCTCATTGTGTCATATGATTTTATCTCTTCTGCAGAACTACACCAAATCAATTAATCTCATTAAAACAAACACCTGTTCTTGCTGTATTTACTATATAGTGCATTTCACACCGAGGGGGAAACACAATGTGCTTTACATGAAGATTAAAAAGAAAAGGAACAAGGGGAGGATTCAAAATAATAATAAGGATGGTAACAAGACTACCAGTAATATTAGCAATGGTAAGAACAACAGTAATAACAGTAATAATGATACTACTCATTCACAACAAGCATAGGCCTACAGAAAGACTGGAATATATCATTATATGTTTTAAAACAAGACAAATATCAGAAGATAATATTCAGTAATATTAAACATCCAGTGCACATGAATGACCTCCACCAATACTGAGAACATCTTTCCAAATGCTTAAGCCCCTTTTCAAAAAGAGTGATTTAAATAAAACACAAATGACACACAGCGGTGAGAAAAGTAAAAGTTAGCAGATTTACCAGATTTCATCCTGATGCACAAAGTTGATGGGTTCAGATGTTCGCTGTGAATCCGCCATCTGTCCTGACCAGTGTGTGTGCGTGTGTGTGTGCGTGTGTGTGGTTTCTTTCTCTCTGTGCGGCTAATGTTTCACCTGTGTGTAAGCCACACTGAAAGACCTGTTTACCGTCGTCATGGAGACGGAGGTTCCCTGACACATATATCTCTTCTCTCTGTCCTGTGTGTGTAACCGTGGTGACGCTGGGATGGAACCACTGGAGGGTTGCAGGGAGCTCAGTCCAGTGTTTTCAGTCCAGAGTGAATTATCTCAACAACTGTGAGATGGATCACCATGAAGTTTGGTACAATAATTGATGATCCGTAGATGATGAATACCAATTACTTTTTGTCATCCAATGACTTTTCATGTAGCGCCATCAGCAGGTCAGAGTTTAAACTTAGCCTTTAAATGATCTCTGCGTCTATCAAATGGATTGGCCATCTGACATTTTGTACTCACATTCGTGGTTAGGTGTTGATTCCTACTGACTTTGGTGATTTCCTTTCATCTAGCATCATCCTAATCTTTACCAGTACATTTCTTTATCACCAAATACCAGCTCAACTAATGAAATCAGCGTTTTAGAGTTGTCACTGTCAGAATTTAGCTCAAAGCACCGTAGAGCCTAACAGAGCTGCATGGATGTAGACTAGTCTTGCACAGAGCCAACGATTGATTGGTCCATTGTTAAAATACTCAGGTCTTAAGTCTAACAAATATTACTGTCAGTGTTGGTGAAGCTACAGTAAGCGAGAGGGCTAGCTAGAGAAGCTATGAGTTACTATATAGCTACTGATCAAAAGCTATTCAGAAAAAGTGGCTCTTTCAGAAGAAACATCTACATGCACTGTGAATAATAAATAACTGGCTGCCTGTATATAGCATTGATTTTGATGTTCTTCTGACCATTTTCAGTTCACTTCCACAGCAAAATATACAGCATTGTTTGTTTTAAATGTGCATATATAAAAAGGTTTCATTTCTTTTTTTGAATTGGATGAAAATGAGGTCCAGATCCCTGCCTGATGTAACAGGTTATTTACTGGATTATAAAGGGTTTCAACATCGCGGGTCACAGCGTTTCTTCCTGTACTGGATCAGTCCCAAGGACAGAAACACTGCTCCCAACAGTAGAGCACAAACTCCACCAATAAGGTAACTCCTCTCAGACTGACTACCTGCAACAAAATGATAAGAGAAACTTATATTTCATGCCCATTAATGATAACATATCAAATCAATTTCAGTATTAAACAAATTCATTAATCTAATCTAATCTAATTTAATCCAATCCAATCTAATCTAATCTGAATTTATCTGATCTAATCTAATCTAATACAATTCAATTCAGTGTTTTATAGCGCCAATTCATAACAAAAGTTACCTCAGGACACAAATAGAGAAAGTTTAGACCGTACTACTTATAAAATTAATCTAATCTAATCTAATCTAATCCATCATAAATAATATTGTCCCTCCATCCTCACCCCACTCATAAATCTTGGGCTCCCTGAGGCTTGCATGCTCCACCATACAGCTGACTCTGTCCTGTCCTCCAGGTGTGTACTCCAGGTAAGAGTGGACCTGATAGGTCCAGTCCCCGTTGGACATGACCTCGCTTATGGTCACGCCCGAGGTCACTTCCTGTCCGTTCTGGTACCACGTCACCCTGATAAATCTGGGGTAGAAGTCATAAGCGCTGCACACCAGCATGGTGCCGTCATGGCCGTAGCTGGTGGTCTCTGCGAGAGTGACGCTGGGTTCAGCTGAAATCAGAAGAATTATATTTATTAATGACTGATGATGTAACCAAAGGGAAACATGTTAAGGTAAACGGAAGTGGCCTTAGACTGAACGCTTGTGTGACTTCACATTATGTAGAATCTGTCACAGTGAAGTTTCAGTCATGTGAGCAGAAATATGCAGTTCTCGGTTTTAGGGCAAGTTAATTGTGAGACTTAATCTTGGTGAATTGTGAGTGTGTGCAGCTCCCCCAAGTCTTGTTGTTGTGACAGTGAGGTGGCCAGGTTTGGTACCATCATGCCTGTAAAGCCTGTATATTGTACCTGCACTCACAAACAGAGCTTGCACTTCCACAGTGGCGGATCTAGAGGGGTGGCATAAAAATACCTGGCCACCCTAGTATGGTGTCAAAATATGTAAAATGTAGCACATTCATTTAGATTAATTTGAAAAATAATGTGTTATGGCCACATTTCACACTCTAGCTGAATTTCTGAAGATTTAGAAATAAAACAATGTATTTCTAATGCCACCAGTTAATCCTTTACACAATAATGTAATGTTTTTGAGTTTAAACATCGTAAATTGGAGGCTTTTCCAAGCAAATATTGATATATGTAATAGTTTGCAATTAAATCAACGTATATTTTTCAGCCCCCTTTAAAGTCTCCATGGCCCCCTCTGGCCCCCATATGAATATTTCTCTAGATCCACCCCTGGCCCTCCAGTCCAGGATAGATGCAAATAATTCCAAAGCGTCTCTTAAACCACAAAATGTTGCTTTTACAGCTCTGTTTGTGTATCATTTAAATGAAAGAAATAGTGTCCTGAGATAACGCTTGTAGTGATTTGGTGCCAATAAAATAGAATTTATATATATATATATATGAATATTCACCTATGTTTTCCTCAGTTGTGTTAATTAATATACCGACGTTGTCGACACATATCAGTTGCCTCTCCACTTTTCTCTGTATAGCATCTTGCTTGTCTTCATTTAACAGAGACGCAGTGATGAATCCAGCTGGAGTGAAGCCCGTCCAGTTCCCGACCGTGCTGTTGTACTGCATCGTAAACTCTTTGTTAAAATACCAGTCCACCAGATACTCTACTTGTGTCTGCTCGATGGCACACCAGAAGTCAGCGTACATGAAGTATCCATCTCCATCAGCAGCACAATCTGAAAGATTGTAATAATAGTAAATAGTTTTTTAATGTGCAGACACAGTAGGTTCATTAGTATTTTTTAACACATAAACACGCATGTTTACATGCAAAACCATTTCAGTAGTACAGTAAAAATTAAACTGGTTCTTTCTCATTTTCAGAATTCCTTTACATCCCTGTACTTTTTTTCAGCTTTGACCTATTTGATTAGAAATTATTGGCTTTTTGTTTTATAAGTAATTTTAGCAGCATCGCTCCAAGTCCACCAACAACTATTGAATGGCTTTTTGTACAGACATTTATAATCCATAAAAATGGTACAAACAGTATATCCTCTAAACATCAACGTGTTAGCATTTACCTTAAATGGTTAAGGGACTTGTACTTGTATAGCGCCTTTCTAGTCTTCCACTCAAAGTACTTTTACACTATGTGCCACATTCATCCTTTCACACACATTCACTCAGTGATGGCAAAGACCATCAAACACAAAGCAATACACAGCAATTTCACTTCAAGACATCAAGAGTTATTCCCATACCGGGAGTTGAACCCNNCCTAACCGCTAGACCATATGGGAGGCTTAAAGCCCTTCAGTGCCAAAGTAAGATCCATTGCTTTAATATTGATTTAAATATTAAAAATATGTATATTTAACTGTGATCCAAACATATTAAAGGATGGGTTCACAATTTTTAATGTCTGTCTTCAAACAATAGCCAGGTGCCCATACAAATGTTGAAACAGGTTTTACTTGCAATAAACGTGCCTCCAGTTTATACAGTGGATTTTGTCCCCCGATGCTTACATTAAAAGCACATTAAGAACTGCTGTAATATCCAGTATAAACAGGAGGGCACATGATGTTTCAACAGTTAATATTTAATATTTTGCACAGGCCACAAAGATTTACCCAGATATCACATAAAGCCACATTTCATATATGTCTCTTTGTCTATAAGCCCAGCTTCCTATACATTTGTATACAGCACAGCACTGTGACAAAGTGCCAGTTCCTCATTCAGATCACTGGAGTGTACACAGAATTAAAAAAGGAGAAACTAAACACCCACAATCTGCAGAGATACTGATAACGTGTGAGGAGGTTTACAGTCTGCAGACAAACATAACATCTTACTTTACATTGCTCAGTTCACTGAAAACACACATACAAAAGATGTTTCCTCAAATCTTCTCAAAATTTTAAAAATGTTTTCCACAAAAAAGGACTGCAACCTCTCTTTTGCAAGTCGTTCGAAGTCTGGTGGTCTCTTGTGGCAGCCAGACCAAAATACATGACCGCCTCTGTTTCCTGAAGTACAGCATGTAAAATAGTTGAAAAGAAGCAAGACTCACTGTCCCCCACAGAGGACATGGGTTAAAATGTATATTTTGGCTTAGAGTTAGCATAACATTTCTCAAAGCTTAATATATAAATAAAAACGAACATCCTTATGAAGAGCAGAAACAATATATCTTCATAAATTTGATCACTTATCTCCCTCACCACCAAAAACATGTCTACTATTTTCTATGTATAGTAGACATGTTTTGTTGCTTTGAGTACAATATACTAGGCTATAGTATATGGTATTACATTCTACAGAAACCTTTGTGAGTTTATAACCCTAACACTGCATAAGGAATGAAGGAGATAAACAGGAAGTAGAAATACCACACTATAAAAGATACTAAATGTACTAAAAGTATCAAATATAAAAGTACGTAATAGGCCGTAGAAAGGTCCCTTTCAGAGTGTTATATCATAATACTGTATTATTATTACTGGTGCATTATGCATTTAAGCAGCATCAGCTGGTTTAGGTGCTGCTTTATAAATTCTTGTGAGTTAAATCTATATAAATGCATCAAATTTACTAAATTAACTCTTTAATTTCAAATAAATGTAGTGGAGTAAAAAAAAAATGTCATCCCAAATGTAGTGGAAATGTAAATATTCAAGTTCAATTAGCAAAAAACAGTACTTAGTTACATTTCCACAATTGCAGATATTCAGGCACATTTTATGTAAAACCAAAAAAAAACATACACCACAACCCAGCTGGTTGAGAGGAGACCAACAGTAAGTAAGTAAGCAATATATCTATCATATCATTTGAGTGTAAAAACAAAGTGTTATATGAATGACAGTTGTTAAAATCTGCTCTGTAGCAGCAGTTGTGTTTTTTCACTTTCGAGTTCATCTCAAATTAAACTTCATAGAACATACCAGCAAGTATTCAGTCAAGTATTGGATATAAAACATTTGACCCTAACATGCTGTGGCCTGAGACCAGCAAAGAAATGAGTGGATTCAATAAAACAAACAAAAGTGGAGTGACTCACCGGCCACAGACAGAGAGGAAAGACCCAGAAGCAGCAGGCACACAAAGCGCTTCATGTTGAAACTACAGAGTGACCAGATTGTTGTTCTCAACCACTGGTGTGCAGTATGCAAATGATTCTTTCATTTTAGTTACTGTATTCACCCTGATGCTTTAAAAAATACTGTTTAGCCCACTAATTCTTTATATATCACTAATTTGAAATATTAAATGCATTTTTAAAGAACATTACCAACAACAACATAATTAGGAAACATTTTTCATGAATGCATCTGTAAAACTTATTTAGTTTTTCCTACAATATCTGCCTGTGGCCACTAACGTGTGTTGCTTGCTCTGTTTACAGGGAATCTCTGTTGAGTTCAGACAGTCAGTGAATACAAATTCATTTAATTATGAATCACAACTTTCATGAACGAGTTCAAAAACGTTGGATCCTAAAAAGATGTTGGGCTTCTCACAGAAAGGTGAAACCAAACACCAGTGAGAAACTGAAAGCAGCAGTCCTCAGCTGAAGCAGAGATTGGTTCCTCTTTTACTTTCTAACTGCCTTTTTTTGTATTCTTTCATTCTAAGGTGGAGGTCAATATCATTCATAGAAAACGAAGGAGAGAAAGAAGAAAGTGTTGATAAAAGTCAGTACAACAACTCTCTCTCGGAACTCAATCAGTGCAAAATTAATTTCTCTTCTCTGCAGTAACTTTTGTCCTTTTCATCATTCTTTTTCCGAACAAGCGATTTGCACATAAATAAAACATGAGCGGAAACACTAAAAATTCTAAAAGATATAAAATATTGCAAAAAAGTTTTCATTTCCTTGGCTGAGGCCGAAAGTTGATCAATAAAAACAAAATGTGTCACAATGCAACCAGATCATGATGCATATGAAGCATGTGACCTGTCACATGAGGAAATGGCAGCTGATAAAAAAAACATCAGATCTGAGCGGATTGATCTTTGCTCAAATTAATGGAACTGGAACTTAATGAAACTAATTTTGTTGCGCCTCTTTATCTGCATTGGTTTAATGACTCCCAGCTGGAGAATTCGTGCCACATGCTGCACAGTTTATCTCTATGAGCTCAACTCCTGATATCTGCATAACATTAGTGGATGTAAAAGAACATTCATTTGCATTTCAATGTGGTAAATGTTTTTCTGCAAATCCTGTAGAATTTTTGCTGCATTTGGCGACAAACTGAGAACTGATGAGTTTCCACTGTGGGCATCAGCTTTTAAAGACATAAACCAGGGACTGAAACTCCAAAGTGTTTAGACTTAACACTGCTTTGGGGTTCAAGAGGTTTATTGTTTTCATGCACAGAAGAAACTCATTGGTTTACCATACAATGAAAATCTTACTTTGCCTGACTCCCTTTACACAACAGTACAATAATAAGACAAATACACATACAAATAGAAAAATAGAATAAAGTTAAAATATAAATATAAAATATAACTTTATCTAACTTTACCTTTTCGTGTTAATTTACAGTGTTGGCTTTCAAATTTACAAATTAATTGATAGATGTAATTTAATAGGGAGAGGGGACAACACATCACTGACGACTGACCATGTCTCCTACAACGTAAGGAGTCCCTGATTATGGTCACTGGTTACATTTTGTTTTAAACGAGGAAGCAGTCTAACATGAAAAAAACATATTTGGGGTAAACTAATAAAAATATAACCATAGAATGTAAATATCTGAGGCAGATCTGAATGCAATCAGGTGTTGAATCCTGGTCTCCAGGGTCAAATTGTATTGTTTTGTGTTTCCACCTGGTCTGGTTGATCATTTATGGAGACGTCCTGACAACATCCCACACATTCTCTAACTCAACCAAAGCAAATCAGACGAGAAGAGGAGAAGAGACGATAAAATGAACTTACAAACCAAATACACAACTTTCACTTTCACAGAGGAGAGTGACAGAAGGGACCGTACACACGGTTTTATTAAAAAGCCTCACCACTAAAGAGAGAGTAACTTTGGACTAACCACCTGAAGCAAAGACTGAAACCACATCCTGTTAGAAAGTGAAGTGTGGTGTGTTATCATCCTCGCTCCAGGCCCAGCAGGCCAGCACACAGAGACGCACTGAGGAGAAGCTTTAGGCTGCAGTGGAAAGAGTCCAGCAGCGCCCCCTGCTGGAGGATCCACAGCTGCCCTCAGGAGCTCTGATAGACGAGGCAGTCTGACCTTCACCGCCTTCAATTAAAGTTTCTTAAATAAGCAGGAAAACAAGTGAAAAGATTTCTGTGTATATGGTTCTTATTATGATTATATATTAGAGGTTGTAATACCAGATATCAGACTGTGGACTGTAACCTCTCCTCCAAGGCAGACATTTGGTAGAGAGGGCTAACACGCTCCAACCCTTCTCTGGGAGGACTAGAGGGGGAAAGATACGCTTGTTATCATCTTACTGGATGGATATCTTTTTTCTATACACACAAATATGTGTATCAGAATGATTTCAAAGATATGGTATTATCTAAATGTCTGCCCTTATGAAACACAGGCGGTTCCTTCAGATAATATAGAAATGAAATTAAAGCGAAAGTTAAATATTTGGGGAGAATTTTCTTCAGTTTCAGTTCAACAGTCTCATTAGGTTTGTACATTAAGTACATATCTGCAGTTTAGTCTGGTTTAGCATAAAGACAGGAAGCAGGGGAAATATGCTGACTGGAACTATTTCAGTTTTTCGAGTTTTTTTTTCTGTTTTTCAACAGGTGACACTGATTATACATTATAGGAGGTCTCATTGATTGTTACCATGGAAAGATAGGTCTTACTTTAAAGGATAGCCTGCAGATAAGGTGTTACAGTACATCTATCTTTGTTTCTGTGCAGTAGTCTAACTCTGGATTACGTTATGTTACAGAGACACAAGGTGGCGCTCTAATCAAAGACATCACTTCTTGTTGGTAAGTGTGTCTACATCAGGGCTCTTTACTGCTGCTCTGATCTGTCTTGACTTTTTAAAAAAAAGACAAAATAAAGTTTTTTTTCTATATCAACCATCATATTCATTTGCAAAAAGTGCAACAAAATATTTCAATATAATTTATAATTAATTATAACTAACTTGTTTCCACCTTCAAGCCAAGATTTTATGGCTGTATTATTATAAAATTTAATTAAATTTATCTCTATGTAAAAAAAAAAAAACTTCTAAATTAATTAGCAATATTTTCATTAATACTAGCAACTATTATGAATGAATATTCAATTCTTCTTCTGTAATTCAAGTGGCCTGATCACATTTTTTCATTTGTTTTTAATTTTTTTTTAATGTTTCGAAAATCCAAAAATACTATTTCTAATTACTTACTTAACTTAAATAATTTTCTAAACATTTAGAGATAATAGTGCTCTTAAACATCTGGAGGTCTGGAAGATGAATAGTTTTCAGACTTTTTCCAGGACTTCCCTCACTGACTGAAACTGCATGTGAGTTTCCACTTTAGATGTTTACCACAACCTAAAGCCTGTGTTACATTATTGCTCTCAGGACAAAGAGGGCCCCCCCCCCGAAGATCCAGCACTGTTATCAGGCCTATGTCTTTACGTCAGTGTACCTGGTACTTTAACCTCTTCTTCTCCAGCTTCTGTTTGCTGTACAGTTTGAATCACACATTGCACAGTTCAGACCGAGGCTGAATGACCCTCTAGTGTGTTTTGTACCTTCTGCTGTCGTCACTCCAGTTATCACACAGTTTCCCCAAATGCTGAGGTACTACAAAGGCTCTGCATCACTTTCTCTCAGAAATTTAAAGTTCAGATTTTTTTTTTATCTTTTGTGCTTGATTCTCAGAAATGAGGGAGAGTTAGTTAGAGAGTTGTCCTGCTATGCAAAATTACATACGCACGCTCTAAAGCTGAAACAATAAGAACATTTTTGATAATAAATTAATTATTCCGGTCATTTTTAAGCAAGAATGCCCCAAAAAATCTCTGATTCCAGCTTCTCAAATATGAATCTTTGCTGGTTTTATGGAGCACTCTGAAGATATCACCTGGCTCTGAGAGTTTGCATTTATCAGTTAGTTGAGAAAATAACAGGCTGATTAATTCATAATGAAAGTAATTCTTAGCTGCAGCCCTAATACAAAACGGAAAATCTCATAGACCTGCTGGTCAGATTTTGATAGTATTCATTGAAATGGCAGTTCCAGGACTGACCAGCAGTGTCTGCTTTGAGATGCTGTGCAGCAAAAAACTATAAGGACTCTACAGCCAGTGTGCAGTGAGGACTAGAGTGGTTGAACATGTACAGTCTGGATGTGAGTGAGTAGTGTAAAATCACACTGAAACTAAATTATCACACTTGCTAAATTAAACATATTCTCAGCCAAACGCCACTGATCCAGTGTCTCCACAGTTATCTCTCATCATCTGTTACTAGTAGAAAAAAACATACAAAGCTGATCCATTCTTTCCATTCAGTATCTGTTTTGTTGTCCATAAAAATAGGTGTTCCAATAGTGGACCTGTTCATTTTCTGCTGTACAGATATTCCCACTGCAGTAACTAGATTTTATGAACTTACAGCCTCTTGTGTTTTCAGGTAATTTACCTGTCTGTACTTTATATGCCCATCCTGTATTATCTGAGCCTTTTTTTCTTTTTACAGATATAACTGGCCAAACTCTTTCTTCCTCCGACCATAAACCAGTGATATACATCTCTAGATATGATATAGACACTGTATACACTCAGTTTATCACTCAAAGTACGTAACCGAGTGCTGAAAAGAAAGGAACTTTTTCACCTTATTAGTATAAACAACACACAGAGTTTTACAGCCAGGCTAGCAGCTCTGTGAGGCACAACAGTGCTTGGAGCTAAATGCTAACATGTGCACAATGAAAATGGGAACATGCTGATGTTTAGCAGGTATAAAGCTTTTATGGTGCGTTCCATTTACTTCAGATGTCTAAAGTCAGAGCTGGGAATGACATCAAGTTGGAAAACCAAGCTCTAGCCAGGCTAACCATTAGCCATTGTTAGCAATACAATTTGTTAACAACACATTCAATTTGTGTGTACAACTGATTTAAT